ATATAGAATTTTCTCTACTCTATTCAATAATCAACCATTAGTTTCTTGTATAATCAAAAACACTAGCGCAAAAGTTGGAAAATTTTAGAGATACACAGCTCATAAAAGCCATTTTCCCTTTTGAATCTCCAGCACTCCAAATTTGATTTGCCCTTTTTTGTAGAGAAAATTTGACTCCCCTTTCCTTCTCTTTTAATTAAGCATCTAATGTTCCATTAAAAATATATGGGCTCTCAGTGGGCGGTCAATAGGTTGAAGCAAAGAAGAGAGGAGATTTCTTAGATGTTTGTAGATTTTACACCTTTAGACTTATCTGTACATAATGATTTTATTGCCCATCCCGCCCAATTAAAAAAGAAAGTCGGTCAATGGAAGCAAAAGATTATATGATACCAAAAAAAGGATGTGTTTGTGTTTATACTGCAAAAGCAAAATGTATTGAAATTTCCAAGTTGTTGCGGCCAAAAAAGGTTGTGTGTGCGCGTGTGTAAGGGGCCGGAGAGGGGGGCTCAATCTTTCTGGCAGTACGTATCTTGAGTCATACGTCCACCCACCCACCCACTCACCCAACATTGCCTTCTATCTCTTTCTCAACTGTGGAAATTTCAGCGCAAGAATTACAACACGACTTGGACTTTTTGAACACACTATGCCCAGGTGAAAAGGAAAGCCAGTCTTGATTTTGTTTGAGGATTTTTCTTACTTGTGTGGCTATGTTGTGCCTGCTATGAGCTAAACCAATTTGACTGTCCTTTTGTACAAATCTTGTCAAATTCAAACAGCATATAATCGAAACCGCTCGGGGTTTGAAAGGGTAGCCTGCAGCAGCCGGATTCTATGTATGCTATCCAAAGATGCATAAACAATTTGAGAAGGAAACAAATTTTCACATAGAGTTTGAATACATGGTACAATTGTCAGAAAATTTTATTTAATTGGAGTTGTTAGTGTGGCAGGTGCAATTATTTATTTATATTTTCGAATGGAGTTATCTAAGAAGACTAAAATGATGTTACTGATCAAATGCAAATGCAGAAATTCCTTGCTGACGAATTAGACTAATGGTATTTTTTGGGAGGTTGTTATTGGATTCATCCTGTTGATGTTATCATGGAGGAAATTCTTTTGCTCCACTTGTTGTTTTGAAATTATTAGCGACTGATTTCAAATCTGAGTGAGACAAAAAGTCTAAAGATTGAAATCAAAGTCATTCTAAAATATGTTCTTGTGGTCATAATTATTTGTAAAATTATTTAAATATTTTTAATAAATATTTTTTGTATATAGATTCATGAAAAACATTTTTTATAATTGCTAACATTTTAATTATTAAGACTGTTTAATTTTTCTCAATTTCTTTTAAATTTAGTATCGATATTTAATTAAAAAATTGACGTATTCAAAAAAGGATTCAAAATTTTTATATTTAACACATTTGAATAAATTGTTATGGGCCTTTGAAATGGGAACTTTAGGACAAGCCCATCTGTTTTGGACTTCTGGGACTATTTGCCAGAAGTTAGCTCCTTTGAGTTTAGGCAGCGTTTAGAGCTTTGAAGCAGTTGGCACATTACATAAAACATATTTATGAGATTGATTTGATCTTAGAACACATATAAATCATTATTTCAACATAGGTTTTAAACCTAAGAAAATACAGAACCTAGACATATTAAAGAGATAGAATATTATAGAATTTGGTGGCGCTTCCATGTCAGTACTTTTTGCCCTTCTGTCTCACATTATGAATTCATTGATAAGTCCAACTCTTGTTATCCCCAGCCATTCATGCCATCAGGGCAATAGGAGGACTAGCAACACTCTGGTTCTGTCTTTGCCGGCTAACTGGGATTTTCACAGACAATCCTGAACCACCAAAACAGAAATACTGGCTCTTGAATGATTTTCTGAAGCTGGCTGTATTTGCTTTTCCATCATCATGTACTTGGTTGGAGCAAGATGGTCCTGCAAAATCAGTCTCAGTAAAGACACCCTTTTGTTTATCCAATGAACTTGGAGAAGAAATGGATGACTTTGAGAATGAACTTGAATGAGACCGGCTGCGAGTGGTTAAATGTGGCATGGCCTGCAGAACCCCACGCATTAACCCTGAGGCAAGCTTCTTCTTTGCAATTGGGCTAGACTGATTACTCCTCATGGAAAGTGTCCTTTTGTTGTTGGAAGGTAATGGAGGCTTTGCAAATCTCTGCCTCAGTGGGATTGGAGCTCCATTAGAACTCTTCCCTTTTTTCTGTGATTGCTCAGAATTCCCATCTACCTGTTTCTGAACCCTTTTAGTCCTTGTCTTTTTCAGCTGGGGCCAGTGGAGGACACTTTTTATTTTCTGTGCTGTGTTATTCTTGGAACATGGTTTCTTATCAACTGATGAGATTTGATTCTCAATGGTAGATTCAATTTGACTTATTTCTGGTGAAGATGAACCCAGTGATACAATTCCTGGATCACCAGGACTGGCATCTGATATTGTCTCAACTCTTGTATATAGGAAAATTTCAGCATCGGATATCCTGAAAGAAGTCCCAGGACTGTTTCCACTGCCTTGCATCTTTAAATGGGAAGCAATTGCTCTTCTTGCATTATGGTCCTGATAACCAAATATTCCCCCAGCAGAAATCAACTGTCTGATAAGTTTATCTGATGATGTAGTGTGAGGATGCTGTCTAAGGAGATCAAGTGGAGTCATTCCATTGGTGTCACGAACATTCACATTGATTGATTGAGCAGACATCAGGAGTTCAACTAGGTCAGTGTGAATATTCCCAATGATGGCCATGTGAAGAGCAGTCCTTCCATCATTATTCTTAGCATTAATAATATCTTCAATCTTAAAGTTTT